TGACATCCTAACGCCGCACCCAAAGCATCCGCCAGGAGAGCAGGAGGCCACCAATAACCCTCGTGCGACCTCTTAGCGCCCATCTTGCCAACTGCCCTTGATGCTGGAGCCGAGCCGTGGCAGAATTCGTCATAGCTCCATAGGTCGACAAGAAGGACAGGAATGGTTCATATCACATACACCCTCCCCCCCTCCCATCCCGTCTTCATCTTTCAGCAGTCTCGCCGGTGCATCAACGTCATCGTTGCGACACTCACCTTTCCCTTCCTAGCAAGGTGCTCGACGAACTGTCCCCGAGGTAATGTTACCCCTTTTCTCGGTTTTAACCCCATTATGCACTGAATATGATCATTGGACGTTGCAATGTGTGGATGAAATGGTTATGGGGAGAGTTTACAGCGAATCTTCTTCGAAGGAAGAACAAGAATAGGATGATGGTTTTGAGATGAAACTGAAAGTGGTCATTCGAAAAGAAGATTGGAAGAGATCTTGACGTGATTTGACTTAGAAGAACACGTAAGCCCTGTACACCGAAGAGAAGGAGACAAGTAGTAGCAACACATAGGCTATCATGCTAATCTTTGACTGAATAGAGCACAGACAATTGGGCCAACTATTGATCTTCCTTAAACGAGGATACGTCCACGTGTTGGGGAGTAAATTGCAAAGTTATGGAATTCTTATACATGCAATTTCCAAATTACCTTCCATAAAGGATTAAGGTTCAAGGTCTTCAGCAAAAAGCACTAATAATTATTAACAAAATAGATGGTCGCGAACAAGAACACTACTTGCTTCCAAAATACTTCGGGACAAAATAAGATCGGAGTTACTACATTCTGATTTGACATTTTGACTTCAGAATTAATTCTTCCGCGTCTTCTTTTGAGCCTCGAGCCTGTCTTGAATTTCACGGATTGGAGCAAATGTAAGCTTGGTGTGGAGCCATACTCTCACAGAGTCACAGCTCTCAATTTGAAAGGCGCCCACTTCACGAGCTTGGCCTTGTTCTCGATGAAACTGTTTCTAAATACGCCACCCCTAAAGACAAAATAGGCACAACCTTCACCTATACCCAGACCCTAATGGCTCTGCGAGGATAAAGTCGCCGCGGCCCCGGTGATAGGCGGGCTTCTCGGGCAACGAAAGTCAACATTGGAGTGCCTGAGGTGGCCGTCCCACGGCGTTAAAACCCACGGGAAGCACAGGCAGGGCCGGGTCGCCGCAGGGGCGAGCTGCGCCGCCGCGTCACGCCATGACCTGCAGACAGTATGGAAGCAAACAACGTCGGCAGCGTGCCGCAGGCGGATAGAGACTTCAAGGAGCAGATCCGGCGGCAGGCCGGTCCACGGGCCGGCGGTGGCGGACAGAGACAGGCACGAGGTGATGTACCCCATGGGATCAAGGGGAGTTAATTGCAAGAAACCATCACATTTAGGGCTTCGTTTGCGAAAAAACACCTGATCCCTAATTATTTGTAAAAATCACCGCATATCTAGTAAACAGTATGCAAATTGCACTGATCAAGTGATTTAGCCCGATTGATCACTTTCTGACAAGTGAGACCTGATTGTACTTAGCAACAAATTTACACACACATCCCTCGTTCTAAGAACAGAAAAGCAATCCAACCCTTGTTCCCGGCTGGTTATCGTCGGATGGCGCACGCGGACTAGCACCTAAGCACGGCTGCTACGTGTTGCCTCCCTGCTGATGCTGAGTGCCGCCGCTGCTGCTGCTGCGCATCGCTGCGTGCTGCTGCTCGGCGCCGCAGTTCCCTACCCGCGGCTGCCGCTGCTCGCCGCCGCAGGTCCTCACCGATGCGGCTGCCCGCGGCACCTGCTACATGCCGCAACTCCCCTCCATGGCCGTCGCTGAGCAGTGTGTCTCCCGGGTGAGTCGGGGTCGTAGACGGGGGCGCGACCGTGTGGTCCATGGCTTGCCAGAGCTTCAAAGCACGACTCGGGTGCGCCAAGCAGGAGGCCGAGGCGCTGGGCTGCGGGCACGCCCAGCGGGAGGCCGTGGGGCTGTGTCGCGGGCGCGCTGACCTACTCACGGTCACCGTCTGCCACCGCGACGTGCTCGGGGGCGGGCACGCCGCGCTCGACTGGTCGCTCCTGCCCATCTCCTCCCGGCTACACCTCCTCGTCTCTGTGTCCGCCCTGCTGGGGCTCACGGTCCCCACCACGGCATCCTGACGGTCGGCAGGGTCAGGGGCTCAGGGTGTCGCCGTGTCGGCCGAGCTCGTGCTGCTTCAGCAGTCACGCTGCTCCACGGGGGGAGGGGTCGATTTTTTTTTAATATAGGGGTGTATGTGTTAATTGTTTGCTGAGTCAGCTCCTTACAACCGGGTCCCACTTGTCAGAAAGTGATTAAACGGGCTAAATCGTCCTATCAGTGTTTTCTGCAAAATGTTTACCAGAAACGCGGTGGCTTTTGCAAAAAAATAGGGACCAGATAGTTTTTCGCAAACAAAGCTCCAAATGTGGTGGTTTTCTGCTTTTAACTCGATCAAGGGAGACTCACGGAAGGTATGTTTTTTTTTGAATGAAAGGGGTTCCCCTGCCCCAACTTTTATTAAAAAGCAAAGGCATGACCACCACAAACCAGGACATCGTACATCGCTTGGCAACAACCAAAGTAGATGTCATAGATAAAAAGGTTCTAATAGACCTATTACACACATAATAGAGGACAGAGGCTGAATAAAGTAGTAAAAGATGACATTCATCGAGCTCCAGAATCTGCAGTCTTCAGTATTTATATCCCATACCAGGCTATTCTAAGCAATTCCCCTCTTCGACGATCCAAAAGCCTTGAGCATTGGAGAAGTAGCACACCTTGGGCGTCCGAACACAAGATCTTCCACTGTTCTTATCAATCCTCCCACCAGGCCCATGATGCAGTGAATACTTCGCCATCTTCGCTCCTGAAGACAAATTCACTGTGCAGAAGCCATAAGCCCCACAGGTAGCAGAAGTAACAAGGTTGACAGCTTCATTTTTTTTTCTTTTGTTTCCACAAAGGAATCAAACACATGAATGAATCAGGTATGGGAATAGAAATCCCCTCAGCAATGACAGACCAAATCTGAACGGCCGCCACACATTCAAAAACTAAGTGCTTAACAGTTTCATTTTCACCACAGAACACACATTCCCCTCTGGCCTTATCCCATCCCTCGACCCCTCTCTTCCCACACACCTTCATAGCCACCAAACAGGCCCCTCCATAGCCACCAAACCTTCAAGCTTGCGCACCACTACTCTTCAGAAACTCATGGTCGTTAAAGTTGAGACACTTATTTTGAGACGAGACGAGTAGAATTTTGTCAGTTTTTGACTCCCACAAAACATACAGGCTCGAGACTGAATATTTCCGCGATAATTTCCATATCACGCACGGAAAACACACACTTCTAAAAACCGGAGATAAATCTGGCAAGCAGTAACTACCATATTACAGTTCGTATTCTACCACAAAATTTTGGAAACTTGTCTAGAGAAGGAGAGAAAAATAAGAAGCAAATCGATCGCCTAGTGCACATGGAAAGACATACATAATCTTTCCAAATTCCATCGCCTGATCTTTCCCGCACGGGATCGGGACGAGTTATAGCGCCGGCTCTCCCTCCTCTTAAAACCCCCATAGGTATGTACACATAAACACACACGAGTTCTCGTTCACAGCAAGCAATCTTTTAGTAGAAGTAGAACACACAGATAGATTTTCATCGATCGACGACCATGGACAGGCACACGATCCGCATCCTTGCGCTAGCCCTGCTGTCTCTGCATCTCCTGTGCTGCGCCACCATCGCGCAATGTAAGTATATATATATGCATCAAAGTTACAACTTCTCTCTCCGTTTTATCTTTGTGATGATGATACTAATCTTTTTTTATCAAGCTTATGCACGTGTGATTTCTGTACTTCTCTCTTCTGTTTCTCCATCTTCTCCTTGTCTTTAATCCAAGTTTAACAAGTTACTTCTTACAAGTTTCTGTCTTATTCTGTTCCTTGATTTCTGCCTCTCTCTTTCCGTCTCTTGCCTTAGACCAGTTTATCTCGCTTGTTAACAAATCCAAAACATCCGCATGTTGCACCGCAGGCCGAACCATCGCCGACCTGCACGACGAGAAGATCAACTTTCCGAACGGGCTGTGCGGCAAGAACAAGCTGTGCATCACTGAATACTGCTACTGCTGCCTGATATATGACCGCTGCTACCTAACCATGGACGCATGCAAGAAACGCTGTGACAATCCATCCTTGTCTGCTTCCGAAGACTTGCAAGCGGCGGAGACGGCGACGGCGACGATGACCCCTGCTCCTTTACCCACTGCCTAGTCAAATTAATTGGCTCATGCCTTTTTTGTCACGAGGCATATGATATGATGCTTTATGTGCGGAAAACAAGTTCACAATAATTAAGATCTTTCAAAAAGCATAGCTTTGTTGCAGTTTGATTTGTCATGTTGCGTTTAGACATGTTCTCGCAGGAGCCAAATTGAATACCTTAGTTGGACGTATAAAATCAGTAAATTATAGCTCCACCTCCACACAATGCAAGTATTTCTCTCTCTG